AGAGACAGAGAGAGACAGACAGACAGAGACAGAGAGAGAGACAGACAGAGACAGAGAGAGGCAGAGAGACAGAGAGGTAGAGAGACAGACAGACAGAGACAGAGAGAGAGGTAGAGAGACAGACAGACAGAGACAGAGAGAGACAGACAGACAGAGACAGAGAGAGAGGCAGAGAGACAGACAGACAGAGAGACAGACAGACAGAGAGGCAGAGAGACAGACAGACAGACAGACAGAGAGACATACAGAGACAGACAGAGAGGCAGAGAGAGAGGAGGGAAGTAGAACTAGGATGGCATAGTACTGGGAGTCAAGAAGATCTAGGTTCGACGAGACATTTAATCTCCCCTAACCTCAGTTTTCTCATCTGAAAAATGGTGGCTTTGGTGGCCTCCGAGGTCCGTTCCATTTCTAAATCTATAATTCTATGAAATCCACAAGAGTCTGTGTGTCCTACACTGAGCTACACTGAGGATTCAAAGGGTAACGGTCCCTGCCCTTGAGGACCTCACATTCCATCACAGGACATAACATGTACACATGGGAATGGATCTAAGATACAGACAAAGACCACAGTGTCCAAGCTGGAAGAAGCCAGCTAGTCCAACTCCCTGATTTTCACAGAAAAGGAAACAGAAGGTCAGAGAAAGGCAGTGATGTGCTCAAGGGTGCACACGTTGCCAAGGTACAGCCGAGATATGAGCCCAAGTCCTTTGACTCCCAATCCAGCGCTCTTGCCGTTGAACGGTGATGCTTCCCTCCTGGGACTTCACTTGCTTCCCACCCTCCCCCACCCCCGGCTAATTTCAGTGTCTTCTCTGGTCTCCCTGAGGAGTTTCTTGAGGGCAGGAATGAGCTCACATCTCTCCAGTAAACCCAGCCCCAGGAAGCTCATTATTGGGGAAATCTCTTTATCCTGGAAGATCCCATTAGCCTCGGGACTTCACTTCAATCCACCTTCTGTGCCTTTGATTGGAGGGTAGAGCCATGAATTCCCAAGCCTCCATTTAAGGAGGGGATTGAACACCCAACATACACTCATTGACCACCTGGCTGTACTGCTCTGAGATGTCTCAGACTTCACCACACCCTGACATCGAGTACCTCCACTTCCCCACCTTTTGTGTATTGCATTCCCCCATTAGATTGTAAATTCCTGCATAGCAGAGACTCTTTTACTAATTGCATCCCCTCAGCCATACTTGGCTCCTAGTAGGTGATCAATAAATGTTTATTGACTAATGACAGTGCACAACCCACACACCCCCAAAAAAGCCCTCACAACCACAGTGGGGAAGGGCTGTTCAATTAAACATAAAGCTGATTTCCATGTTTGCTCAGAGCCAGGTTTGTGCGGAGGATCCCAAAACGTGGACTTAGGAGTCAGACAGTTGTCAAGTGGCCCTAATTTCCTCAGTCAGAATTCCGGCCAGACTTGTTCTTATACCCACCCCAGGCCAGCTTCAGAGAATCACTGAAAGTTTGGGCTGGAAAGGTATTTTAGGGATCAGCCAGTCCAACCCCCTAATTTTACAGATAAGCAAACTATGACCCAGAGGCAAATTAGGTCACACTGACATTGAGTAGCGTGGAGCCTAGGTCTTTGGACTTCAAACTATTGTTAATTCCACAGCTTTGATTAAGCCTTCCCTTCTCTTGTCCCACTCTGAAACACACACACACACACACACACGTAGAACCAAAATTGAAACGTAGAACCAAAATTGAAACGAAGAACAAAGGAACGTCCCAATCCAAAACTCTGATACTTCCCGAGTAGGAATGGAGACTCCTAGCTGAGATGCCACAGGACCCAGATCCCAATTCAGTCTCTACCACTTACTCCCCGAGTGAATCTGGGCAAATTCCCTATACTCGATGGACCTCAATTTCCTCTAATGTAAAAGAAAAAGTAATGGGCACATACCCCAAAGATATCAAAGAAAGGGAAAAGGCCCAAATGGACAAAATATTTCTAGCAGCTTTTTGAAGCACAGAACTGTAAATCAAGATGCTGCCCATCAATCACGGAACTGCTAAACAATTTATGTTACACGAATGTAATGAAAATACTATTGTACCGTAAGAAATGATGAAGGGGTCAGTTTCAGAAAAAGCTGGAAAGACTTGTATGAACTGATACAGAGTGAAGTAAACAGAACCCGGAGAGCAATGTATAGAGACAGTAACAATGACATTGTAAGAAAGTGACAATAATACTGTAAAGACAAACACCTTTGAAAGACTTAAGAACTCCATTGAATGAATGAAATCACCAACTCTGCCTCCAGAAGATCAGTGCTACACGCACACACACACACACACACACACACACACACACACACACACAATATAGGCATGACAAATTTGTGGATTTGTTTTTGCTTGACTATGCTTGTTATAAGGATTGCATTTTTCTTTTCTTTTTTTTTATGGCTGGGGACACCCTTGGGGAGGAGGGTGGAGTTAGCTATATGTAATACAGAAAGAAAAGAAATAGGGTCGTTAAAATGTTTTTTTTCCCAAATGTATAGAAGAGAAATTCAGAAGGAAACAGACAAGTGGGGCAGTTTTGAAAGTAACATACTGAATTTTTTACATTTTTAAAGCAAATTGTACATAATAGAGATTTACATTTTCTCTTATAATCCATTTTCTACTTTGAATATGGAAATGTATTCTTTTTTATTTATATACCCAGAACACATTTTTTTATGACCCCAGTTGATCTGACCCCTCACAATAAATCTGACATCACCACCTTGCCCAGGCTTCCTTCACCCTCTTCCTACTCCTATGATTGGCTTTGATTGCAAGGGGCTTCATCTCGGGGTTTGCTAAGTTACTGGCCCCAATTCCAGTTCCAAGTGCCCCAAATAGGACTCTTCCCTAATACAAACAATGCAGGCTTCAGATGATCAGCCTTGATCTCTGCCTTGGACTCCCTACCACGCCCACCTTTCTCCTTTCCCCATAGAGACCCATATCATGTTTCCGGCCCTCCTTTCTCTATGAAACTCCCAATAAAATACTGGCCAGACCTTTGCCCCTTCCAAAGTCAGGGCCTAGGTTTCTATGAGCCTTACGTGTCTGTTTACCTTACCCTGTTTATCTTCTTGGGCACTTGGGAAAATTTATGGAGGGGGAATACTGGCAACCATGGTGTAGGCTGCCTCTGGTGGGGTAAATCTTACCCACAGGTAAAGAAGGGCTTTCAAGATTGTCAGAAAGAAGCCCCTGGAACTCTTCTCATTACAAAAACAAATGAAACTTTCACCAACTAAATCATGTCTGACATACCACTATTTCCTAGAATCATAGATTTCTAATTGGAAATTATCCCTGAAGTAGTCCAACCCCTTATTTTACAGAGGAGGAAACTGAGGCTCCGGGAGAGGACATGCCCAAAGTCACACTAGTAAATGGACTAGCTGGGATTTGAACCCGGGTGCTTTCTCTCCAAATTCATTGCCCCATGACAACCAATGGGCTTACCAGGTCCTTTCCTTCCAGTCAGATTTGAAAGGTTGAAGGAAAAAGAACAGGAGTATTTGGGAGCCTAGAAAGTGGGAAGGAGGTATGGAAGGGAGGAAAAGAAGAAACAAGGAAGAGGGCAGAGGCAAACTGCATGATTTTGCCAAATGCTGGCCCTGCTATGGCATTGGAGACTAGTTCTGAGGTATCTGGAATTCCACCTGGAACTGAGCCAGCTGCCTCCCTGAACTTTGCTGCCATCCTGTCCTGGGGATCCTCGTCTGTCCTGCCCCAAACCAGAAGTCAGACATCCAAAGATGGACCCAACTGGCCATTTAGAGCATCCCCCCAAACCAGAACTGACCCTCTACCATGAACCCCCAGGACCTCTGGACTGGCCCATAAACTGGTGATACTCTATTAGCTTGGGCTATGCTGAGCATACATTTGGCACTAGAAATTGGAAGAAGGGAGCTATCCCTCTCTGAAGCTGAAGGCATATAGGATCTCAGCTCTAAAAGTGGCAGGGATCTCAAAGGCCACTTATCCAGGCCCCTCATATTACAGATGGGCAAAGCAAGCAAAACAAGAGAGGTTGTGATATGCCCAATATCACCCATGCAGCAGGTATGAAATTCAACCCCACCCCTTCTGCCTAGACAGCCAGTGCCCTTTCCATTGTTCAAATGGCATCTAAAATGTCCCTAGACCTTAGGATAGGACTAAATGCCAGGATAGAGGCTCAAAACTTGGGCTTTCCAGGGCCTCCAAGACACATGGATGGTGGACACCAGGCCTGTCTCTGGCTTTGGAATCTTCTGGTTCACTGAGAGAGGGGAGACTTGGAGAAAAGATAGGAGGGCATCAATCCTCCAGAAGGACATTCAGGTGTGTCCAATCCTATCAAATGATAAGGGCAGGCCAGGAGCACTGACACTAAGCTGGGGAAAGACCCTTTCCCCTACCAGAACAGCCTGTTGTGCAGCTTCTGGGAATATTCAGAGGCCTACTGAGTCCTGATCAGGCTGATTCCCATCCGTTCCCAGGAGACTGACAGCCCTTCAGAACCAGTTACCTTGTCAGTCAGTCAAAAAGCATTTATTAAGCACCTACTATATGCCGACCACTGCTGAGCACAGAAAAGGGACACCAATAACTGGGGGCTGGCAACTGGAGAAGTGTATTGTTTCCCCCATTTTATTCCCTGCTCTTCACCTGAGAGTTTCTAGGGACTAGAAAAGTGAGCCGGGAAGGAATCCGTAGTTTGGGTCTCCTAGGCGCGACAGGAATCTGGCTGCTGCCCCGAAATCCCCACTGGCCGTCCTGACTGGTAGCCAGTCAAAGGCGTTCTTGCCAATAGAAGCGAATGCAAGCAGGGTGGACCGAATCGCCCCCCCCCAACCCTGGCCTCTTCCCCTCTCACTGTCAAGGGGAGGGGGTGTGGGCGTGGTAGGGGACACGTCACCCAACTAGGAAAGTCCTGGCCCCACCCTGGCCCGCCCCCACTCCAGCCTTGGGTACTAAGGTAAGTAAGGAAAGAAGGCAAAACAGCCGGAGCCTGGGAGGCAGTCCAGTCGCCTAGCAGGCTGTGGGCAGGTGCAGACAGGTGCGGCGGAGCTGAGCGGTTAAGAGTCAGTGAAGCCAGCTCCAGCCACTCAGCTCCCCCGCCCTCTGCCATCTCTACCAGGACTGCCCAGGGGCCTCCAGCCAGCCCTTGCGCCCGTTCTCACGCCCCAGGGCCGCTGCTGCCGCCGCAGCCATGTCTATGGGCTTGGAAATCGCTGGGGTGTCCCTGGCCGTGTTGGGCTGGATGGGCACCATCTTGTGCTGCGCGCTGCCCATGTGGCGAGTGACGGCCTTCATAGGCACCAGCATCGTGACGGCGCAGACCATCTGGGAGGGCCTGTGGATGAACTGCGTGGTGCAGAGCACCGGTCAGATGCAGTGCAAGGTGTACGACTCACTGCTGGCCCTGCCCCAGGACCTGCAGGCGGCTCGCGCCATGATTATCGTGGCCATCCTGCTGGCCGCGTTCGGGCTCCTTGCGGCCATGGTGGGCGCGCAGTGCACCAACTGCGTGCAGGACGACACCGCCAAGGCCAAGATCACCATCGTGGCCGGCGTCGTCTTCCTGCTGGCCGGCTTGCTCACGCTCATCCCCGTGTCGTGGTCAGCCAACACCATCATCCGGGAATTCTACAGCTCCCTGGTGCCCGAATCGCAGAAGCGGGAGCTGGGCGCCGCGCTCTACGTGGGCTGGGCGGCCTCGGTGCTACAACTGTTGGGCGGGGCGATACTGTGCAGCTCCTGCCCACCCAAGGAGAAGAAGTACACGCCCTCCAAGATCCTCTACTCGGCCCCGCGCTCCACCGCCACCACCGCGGTCGGTGTGGGGTCCAGCTACGACCGCAAGGACTACGTGTGAGTTCGCGCCCGCCAAGCCACACGTGGACCCTCGACGGGCGGGCTGGCGCTCGGCGGCCGGGCCCGGCCCAGCGGACGAACTGAAAGGTGGACGGGAGGGGGCGCCTGCCAGGAGGTCTCCCTTGCCGCGCTGCTGTCCCAGGGCTGAGCCACGACGGCGCGCCCCGGGCGCGAGTAGCACCGCCCCCCGCGAATCCCCAGCAACTCCCGGAGAAGTCAATCCGAGCTTCCCAGAGGGTAGCCGCGGAGCCAAAGGAGGGGAATGGCCGAGTGAACGCCCAACGCCTCCACCTCTCGAACCCGCTTCTCGCTTATTGTGGACTGAGCCAGCAGACAGCCAGACGGGCAAAGCGAAAATTGAGGTCCTCCGCAACTATGGACTAGACTTCTACACCCAGCCTTGAGCAGATGGGGTGGTTGTGAAGTGTACTGGGCGCCTGACCTTGGAGACGCGGCCCGTCCTCCTGCCCCTTACGTCGGGCCACAGCCCTCAGATCCCAGGCCAGTGGGTGAGGAGGATCGGCGGCCGAGAGCTAGTAGGGACTGGGGGGGGGAGGGGTTCAATAAAATCTTTTGTTTCGCACCCGTTGACTCCCTTTGTCCTGAGCAGCTCCGGAGCCCACACGCGCGTCCCTCTAGCCTTCAGGCTTAGATTGGAACCCTAGCTCTTTCTCCCTTTGGATTCCTGGGACCTTGCCCCTCACAGCTGCTCGCCCTTTCCCCAAGCTTCATCCCCTTCTCGAATAGGTCCCCTGTCTGTTGTCAATGTGCTTGGAGCTGGATTTGCTGGTAGAGAAGGAGCTCTGTGTCAAGACTTAGTGCTGTGGGCCGGGACTCAGTCCTGGGAATGGGGTTCAGTATTGGGAAAGGGACTCAGTGTTGGGCTAGGGCTCTCGGGACAGGGATTGGGGGTTCAGTGTCAGGTTCAATGAATTCGTATTGGCTGGCAACTAGGACTCAGTAGTGGGGATGAAGACTAAGCGTAGAGTCCCTCTCTATCGTTGACAGGGGATCTCTCCTCCTCTCGCCCCCTCTCCTCAGATTCAGTTTCCGCGTTTGCCTAAAAGTTTGTTCTGCTTCCTCGCGCAGCTGAATCGGAGCAGGTACCTGCCCAAAAGGCACCCGAGGGCTTAGTATCGGATTCCCTTCTTTCCTCGGCTTCGTTTCTCTTTCCTTCCCCTTTTCGTAGCCCCAGGCTCCCACCTAGCGCAGCGGAAGCTCCAGCCTTGCCCTGGGTGTGGCCGTAGTTAGGGGCTTTGTGCTTAAGGTTTCAACAGCAAGACTGGGGTCTGCTAAGAGAGATCCTAAGGAAACTTCCCTTGCAGGAAGTATGCAGTGTTCACATCCCGAAGGTTCCCCCTCACTGCAGGCCCGAATGACTGATATCTGACAAGAAGGCTGGAGAGAGTATATTGCGTTTGGAGACTGGTTCGACCAGATGCCCTCTGTGGCTGGGATTCTGTAAGGGAGGGGGCGGATAAGTGACCAAGGATTAGGGGTGGAGGATGACGAATTGTCAAGGATGGGGCTAAGTGCCAGGGGTGAGGGCGCAACATCAGGAATGGGGGCAGGAGGGGACTAATGAAGGCTCAAGGCTGAAAATAGAGAGCCAAGTGCCAGAAGGGACCCCTTGTGCCAGGGAAGGGAGACTGAAGTGCAAATGTCTGGGAGGAAGGGCGAGTCTCCCAGACCCACAGGCAGGGAGATTCGGGGGAGATTGGGGAAACTGGGGGAAAGTTTACTGGAAGGGGGGGGGACGACGAACGGGGGACTGGGAGCCCAAAGCTATCATTCTTTGTGGCCCGAGAGGAAAGTTGAAACCTGAGAAGTCCATCCCATTTGGAAGCCCTGAGCCAGTGCCTGGGTGTCCCGGTGACCCAGGCTATGCCAATCCCAGACTCCAGAACACTGGAATGGCCTCCCTCTGTTCCCCAGCCAGCTGGCTTGCTGATTGATTGGGTATAAAAGAGCTAAGTACCCCCCATTCCCCAGCCTGCCACCTTCACCATTAGGGCCAGTGTCGTCTTTCTTCCTCTCCTAGCCATTGGTGCCAACACCTTCTACCTCTGTCCCTCCTCAATCTCCAGGACTGCTGGGTGGAATGGAGCCATGCAGCCAACTCTTAGCCCTGGCTCTCTGCCACCTGCATAATTTCCACTGCCATCAGGAAGGTCTGGGATGGGGAGCTCCCAAAGGGAGAGCTGTGTCTCCCCAATAAGACCAGGTGGTCCCTGAGGACTGAAGATCCTTGGTGTAGTGGGTAGCTATGTGGCCACAGGGGATAGAGCACTAGGCCTGGAGTCAGGAAGACCGGAGTTCAAATCCAGTCTCAGACCCTTCCTAGATGTGTCACTCTGGGCAAGTTACTTAACCTTTGCTTGCTTCAGTTTCCTCATCTGCAAAATGAGGATAATAATATCCCTCCCAGGGTGGTCGTAAGGATCAAAAGAGATAATCAGTGTAATGTGCTTAGCACAGTGCCTGGCCCCATCTCAAGTGCATAGAAGTGTTAGCTATTATTATTGTCAGTGGCAGGAGTGCCAGATTTGAAGAACTTGTATTCAAAGTCCTGGACCTCAGTTTCCTCATCTATCAAATTATTGGTTTGGACTGAATGGACTTGGTAGTCATTTTGAGGTCTAAATTTTTGATACTACCAGTGGATCTCCTTGTTTTGATCCCGGACTCCCTGAGTGCTAAGACTGTGTCCCTCTGCATCCCCCAGCAGACCAGGGGCTACCTGCTAGTGGGGCGATCTCCCCTGTCAGATAAGCAACTACGTGATGGTACGAGTTGACCCTCTTGTCAGACCTAGAGCTCCCCAAAGAGCAGGATTGTACTTCTCCCATTAGATCAGGAGCTATCAGAGCACAGGTGAGGGTTTTATCTGCCTCATTGGGCTGAGGGGTCTCTAACAGCGGTGGCCATGTCTTCTGTCCTTGATTTCACACACACCTTCCTGCCAGGGCAACGCCTTCTACCTCTGTCCTTCCTCAATCCCACGACTACTGGGTGGAGCGGAGCCATGCAGCCAACTCTTAGCCCTGGCTCTCTGCCACCTGTGCAATTTCCACTGCCATCAGGAAGGTCTGGGGAGGTACTGTTTTGTCAGTGGGCAAGGTACCTTCTCAGCCCAAGGTAACTGCCACAGTAGAAATCAAAGCAGAGAAATAACTGATGGCATCAGGTTGTGACCAGGAACAGGAAGCTCCACGCACATTTGGTCTCATATGGTCGCTGTGCTTCAGGATGATGCAACATTAAGAAGGTTGGTCCACAGGCATCCATGGGACAGAGGAGGACATCCGAAGTTAACCATAACAAAGCTGTTAGATTTGCCTGTGTCCCCTCTCCCCGTACTCCTTTCACCTCAAAAGTCCTCACCTTCCTTTCTTACTTCTCCCACAAAATCTGCTTCAGCTGGAAAGGATCAGTTAAAGGTATCATATATTCATGTGTCAATGACAGTAAAGCTTAATTAATTTTTTCATTTATTTGTTAAAGCAATAATCTACAATTTGCATTTTAACAGAGGGCAAAACTCAAAGAAATTAATGTCTAAAGGTGAAATTTCCCCTTGGTGACAGGCTAGTAAGGAAGCTAATTGGAGAAGGGCATTAGGAACTTCCTGGTATTCCTGTAAACGTAGTTTCTAGAGTAAAGCCCTTGGGTAAGATCGTCCTTGACAAAGTTAATAAATTCCCTCAAGCAAAGTATGAAAGTAATACAAATCCTTGAAATCAGATGACTGTAATGGAAATCTCAACTCCTTTGTGAGGAGGCAGTGGAAGAGTGCTGGATTCAGGATCAAAGGACATGGGTTCGAATCTTGTCTTTTTTCCTTAATTCTTGTAGGATTTCTGTTCAGTTTCAATCGTGTTCAACTCTTGGTGACCCCACTTGGGGTTTTCTTGGCAAAGATACTGGAGTGGTTTGTCATTTCCTTCTCCAGCTTATTTTACAGATGAGGAAACTGAGGCAAACAGCATGAAGCGACTTGCCCAGGGTCGAATAGCTATTAAGTGTCTGAGGCTGAATTTGAACTCAGAAAGAAGAGCCTTCCTTACTGTATGCACTATGGCATCCCCTACATGCCCATGTGACCCTGAAACACGTCACTTAACTTCTCTGAGTGTTCTGGGACTTGTCTGTGAACTTGTCCTGTGGATTAAAGGGGTTAGGCTACATGATTGCTAAAGCCCCTTCAGACACTCTATCTGATTGTCCTCCCCTTTCTAACTATGTGCCCATGGACAATCACTTCATCTCCCTTCCCAACCTGCTTCCTCGTGTGAAGTGTGTCAGTGAATGGAGTATCGACCTCTCGATCAAGAAGACTTGGGTGAAAGTCCAGCCCTCAAAGCATCGACCCAGAGCCAATCGCTCACAAATCTCAAAACATTGCCCCCAGGACAATTCCCTAAAACCCCAAATTACAAAAGAGATGCTAATTTGCATAGGTGAAGGGTATTTCCTACTGAGGAAGTCCTAAGTCCAGTCAAAATAATAACAATAATTTTCCCCTGTTTCACAATAGAAACAATTTTGCCATCACTTCCCAGGGTGGCAAATCTTGACATGCTACTTTGTGTGGCCAGCATCTGTCAGAGCTCATGGCAAAGACGTGTTTGTCTGCACTAATAACAGCAAATAGTAGTAACATTTATGTGGCATCTCCTATGTGCCAGGTGCTTACTAAGCACTTTACAATTATTAGCTGGTTTAATCCTCACAAAAATCCTGTGAGGCAGATGCTATTATTATCCCCACCCTTTTTTTGTTGTTGTTGAGGCAATCAGGATTAAGTGACATGCCCAGGGTCACACAGCTAGTGAGTATCATGTATCTGAGCCTGGATTTGAACTCAGTCCTTCTGATTCCAGGGCCGGTGCTCTATCCACTATGCCACCTAGCTTCCCCTATTATCCCCATTTTATAGATGAGGAGCAGATGTTAAGTGACTTTGCCAAGATTACATAACTAATAGGTGTCTGAAGCCTGATTTGAATTCAGGTCTTCCCAACTCCAGGCCATCCACTCTATGAAGTAGGCCATTTAGATACTTTTAGTAGAGTTGGGGAAGTGGGAGGGGAGGATGGTGGAAGGGGTGTGCATGGGCTTTCTAGGCTTACAGCTCTAGAGCTGAAAGTGACCTCAGATGCTGTCTGTTCAACGCCCCTCGTCTGACAGATGAGGAAACAGGACCAGACTCTCAAAGGCCTATGATTCTGTAGGAAAGCAGAATTTCCCAAAGGCTAAGCTAGCTATGCCTGAGTCGGGTAGGTCCTCAAAAGTTGGAAAGGCTTTGAAAAACACCTTCAGCAAGTGTGCTGTCTCAGGACTGGTCTAGCTAAGTTTGAAGAGACTCATTGCCTAGCTGGCTGCTAGGGGAAAGGTTGAATTTTTTGGCCGCAACAACCCTAAAGCATCTATTGAGGCAGATTGGGGTCATCTTTATTGAAGGGAGAGGGGCTTCTTGTTCTTCAGCTGTGTCCAACCCCTCTTGACTCCGTGGACCATAGCACGCCAAGGCTGTCCACGGGGTTTTCTTGGCAACGATACTGGAGTGGTTTGCCATTTTTT